TTTCATCAGAATAAAGTTTTTTTAATAACAAAAGAAAAAAATCGAGACAAAGTGATTAAGGTAAAGGTTACAAAGATTTACAATAATTCTGTTTTAGTTACACTATTTATACAGTGTGGAAACCACTTATGGAATAAAATTGTTTGTGTCCTTATTATAGAAAATAATAAAAAACTCTGGTACACGTTAACTTTTAAATTTAGATGTGCGCTTTTTAAACATAAATTAAAATGTACAGGGTGATCCACGCAAGTCTGACATAGTCCATAATCCTTACTTTTAATGAAACACCCTGTATAGTTTTATGTTTTTAAAATATTCTTAACAACCTGATTTTAACGAACTGTATCATGTAGGGTCTATAATGAACAATATAGATAATAATTTATCACGTGTTATGGTATTATTTTAAATTAGCTAAATACAGACAATACTCTACAATAGTGTCAGTATATTGGGGAAAATTTCTGTTTAGTAACTGTGTTAACATTTTTTGTCATGAATAGGTAAAAACTATTAGTGGATGTATTAAATAAATCATTGCGGAGTGTATCAATCAGTTGTTATTATGTTGACATTTTACATTAAAATAATAAATTGCTAATTAAAAACTAATTTCTTGCAGAAATAAAAATAAAATATTTAGTTGAGACCCTCCGAATTGAGATTTCAATGGTGATCGGTTACGGGGAGCATAGTAGAAGTCAAGTTGAACTAGTAAACTTATTTAATCAGAGGTATTCTCAAGTCAAAATTATGCACAATTCAGAGAACTTGGACATGTCAAACCATTAAAAAGAAAACCGAACTTCATTGAAGATGAGGTGAAAGTGGATATTTTGTTAAGTGTCGCAGAGAATCCAACGTCAAGTTCACGTCAAATTGCACGTCAAAATAATATGAGTCATATAATTGTCCTAAGGTGTCTTCATGAAGAAAAACTTCCATATAAATTGACTTTTTGCAGGAGCTAACAGGAGACGATCCAGATCGTAGAATGAATTTTTGCGAAAGAATGATGGATAAAGTTAACACAAATCGATGGCTTAATCTGCAAACAAGATAACTTCACTTTTTTCGTAATATTAGTTTATTCGTGTATTGCTTTCTTTACCCAGCTATATATCAGTTCACAAACTGCTAACTCCTAATCTTTATCGTATACCTTTCAAATAGCCTGCCCAAAAACAAGCTACCTCCATGCATAAGACCCCCACTACGGTAAAACTGCTAACTCCGTGTTGCGCCAACCGTTAGAAAGTAGTTTCAACGTGGAATCGTGCCCATACGGTTGTTATCAAAACAGTCATTCAACAAACAACGTATTACTTGTATCGGTGGCAAAATTTAATAACACTTTAGATACGGAAAACATTATTATTTCATCCTTAAAAAGATGCCTGCGAAAAATCTTCGTCATATAAATTGGGTTTGGTATCTGAAGATGAATACAAGAAACACACAACAAGAAAGGAGCATAAAAACTGAGAAGATTACGTATTTGCAGTTGATGTTTAGGCTCTGCTTCGGCACCAAAATGTATTGTATTATCACTGTATTACAAATCTAAACTTAATGTACATAATTTTTGTGCATTATATTTAAAAAAAACTATGGAGGCATAGATGCATGCCTCCATCGAAAAAAAATCTTCGAAATGAAATTATTAATGTGCCTGCTGAATACATTGGTATTTGCCGAAGTGTTCGCAAAAATCCAAAACCATACTACGTTAAATATTTAGCACATTCTTCTTTAAGTCGTTTAATGATGTAAAAATTTTTAAATCCATTCGACCTGGAAAAATGAAGGGGAATCTCGAGGTAAATTTTTTGTCTTCACCTTTGACCGGTAAGGCAGCAAACATTTTTAATTTTTCTTTTCAAGGTTAAAGAAATCAAAGCCCTGAAATACACGTATATTATAAAGTGAATTTTGAAGAAAAATGGAAGTTACTTCCCCAACGTGAAAAAATTACTAATCAAAAGGATTTTGCACAGCTGCCGAACTTCCATTCTGATAGATAGCCATTAAAAAAAATATTAAAATTCCTTTATAAAAGGTATATAATTTAAAAACCCAATCAGGCTAGATCGCAAAACGTTTTCGGAATCCATATTCCATCATCAGTGTCTGGGTGTACATGTATTGAGCCACTAAATATCTGGGTAAAAACCCGTTAAAAATTGTTTAGTGGCTCAATACATGTACATCTAGACACTGATGATGGAATATGGATTCCGAAAACGTTTTGTGATATAGCCCGATTGGGTTTTTAAATTATATACCTTTTATTAAGGGTTTTTAATAAATTTTTTGTGATATATGGTATACAGCCAACTACAGGAACTTAGATTCCTTGTGGAGATTTCCATTAACTATCAGAAAGGTCCAGGATCTTCAAGATCTAAAAACCTCCGTCCCAACTGATTATCATTCTTACTACAATAATCTACCTCATGAATAAACGTTTTTTTAGACAATCCAAGTTGTTTATACTGTAATATTTTATTTTTTCTTGATTCTTTTGAATTTTAGTTCTTTATATGATAAAAGATGTTAAAAAAAACAGGCTCCTTTTTTCAATATCTTACTGAATACGTAAACAAGCTAACTCCTTTTATGGCGCAAAAAAAAAGGTTTTGGGTCAAACAAAGTTATTTTTGATTAATTATTATTAACACCAAGAATTAAAAGAAATAATTAAGATTTAGTAATTAACCGTAAGTATAATTATTCATAAACTGAATGGTTTTATGTTTATACTGAAAAATTTGCCTAAATGGAGTTGGCTTTTTTGCATACTAATGTCCAGTTGCACCAACAAATAAACGATTGATTTTTTGATTTGGATTGCCCGTTTATTTTGATGAGCCATCGAAATGAAATACACACTCATGCCCAGTTGCACCAACAGACTGTAAATCAACTGATTTGCTAACCGTCAATTGGACGATTTAAATCAACGATCAGTGGTTATTTTTCAAACGAGTTGCACCATTCTAAAAAACTATTGGTTTACAAACCGACAATTTTTACATGGCAACATTGCACGAGTACAGATTATTTCGATTATTTCATTCGAATCGGAGTGTGATCTGTCAAAAAGATTGTCAACAAAGAAAGTTTTCTAAGGTTATGCCAATCCAATTGAACATTGAACTATTATAATAACATTGTTTTACTTGCAATTTTGTGTGTGTAGTGTGTATTTAAGATGAAAAATAAAGGAAGACACTTCTCTATTAATTTTATTTCTTATTTTACACCGCATTATTCCTTCCTATCCTATAAATTAAATGTTCATGAAAACGTTCTAAAAGGACCAACACTGTTTTCTTGCTTACTCGATATCTAAAAATAATTAAAATGCATTTCTAGTCATTCAGATAAATAATGATATATCTACCTTGCTTTAAATTGAACTTCATTATATTAATTATACAAATCATTGCGATCTCTTACATATCTTATATTTGGTAACATATGCATTATATCTTCTAAATTGTCAGAAGATGAACTCGACGACGACGGTGATGATAAATCTATTTTTTTAAAATGTAATCTATAATACTTTAAATAAAAGATCTTTGCTAAAAATACTTAATAATATAAACAGTGTAAAAGTGAGATTAAAAACAGTCGATTTTTTAAATAACCGTAGAAAATCGGTTGGTTACTTTTGACAGATCAAAAACAGTCGGTTCCAATCAAGTAATGGTTGGTGCAACATATTCCAAAATAAACGGGCAATCCAAATCAAAAAATCAATCGTTTATTTGTTGGTGCAACTGGACATCAGTATCCTCAAAAGTTGAGTTTTTGGGCAGGTATTATAGGAGATCATATTATTGGTCCTATATTTGTAGATGATAATTCGACAGTGGAAAAATATTTAAGCATGCTAAGAGACAATGTTATTCCTCAGTTGGCTAACTTATATCCCAATCCATAAATCCGGCCCTACGGCATGAAATTGTCTGGTTCCAGCAGGACGATACAACTCCATATTATACTTTAATAGAAAGAAATTACTTGAATGAAATCTTCTTCAATAAATGGATTGGACGAAGGGTACTGTTGAGTGGCTAGCTAAGTCGCCAGATCTTACGCCTTTGGATTTTTTTCTGTAGGGTTATCTCAAGAACAAAGTATGTGCAACACAACCAACTAGCATTGAAGTCTTCAAAGAAAGGATAACTACAGAAATACGGACTATTTCACCTCAAACTTTAAAAAATGTTCGGAACGAGTTGTATAGGAGACTGTGTTATTGCCAACAATAAGGTGGAGAACATTTTGAGAATTTATTTGAATGTCATACAATCAATTACCTCGGGTATTCTATGAATTAATTGCCTTGAAGAAAATTATAGATACTTAATTTCAAAATTTCACCTTGTATCATTAATAATAGACCCTACATGATATAGTTCGTTGAGATAAGGTTGTTAAGGAGCTTTTAAAACATAAAAATATACAGGGTGTTTCATTTAAAATACAGACTATGGAGTATGCCAGACTTGCGTGGATCACTGTGTACATTTAAATTTATGTTTAAAAAGCGCACATTTAAATTTAAGAGTTAAGGTATCGCAACGTTTTTTATTATTTTCTAAAATAAGGACACAAATAATTGTATTCCATAAGTGGTTTTCACAAAGAAATGCCAGGAGCTATGTTAACTTTGTTTGTATTATAGTCGTTCGCCTTTATTATAGCGTAATATTGCTGTTCAGTGAATACTAATAAGTCAATTTATACAATTTTTTCACTGAACAAAGTTTAAAAATATAACCTTTAGAATTTGTAGATTTTCTGTGTAAATATAATAATAAACCATCAAAACAAAAGAAATAAATATATTAATGATCACAAAATACATGTTTAGATATGGTTAATCTCACGTAAATCAAACATACCAAACGTTTATTGCTTTTATTTAATCAGTGTTTTATTTGTTCGATTCATATTGATATAATTTAAATTATGGGATATATTCATTTGTCAATGTATTCTTGGATCCAGTCCAAATACGGTTGTACTTTGGTATAAACGTTAGGAAGACCTCCTACAGCACATTGTCTAGGTCCGGCAGATACAATTCCTTCTAAATACCACTGATTAGGAACATCTTTTCTTTTTGACATTAGTGATCCTCCCGAAATAGCTAAAATCAATGGTTGACTTAGTTAAAAGTGAGCAATGTTTTAATATCTCAAAATATTTCAGAAATGAAATACAGGAGAAAAAACACGTTAAGAAGTTTTCTGTTGCTTACAAATAATCAGTGCGATAACAATATTGCAAAAAATAATACAAAATTAATAATTGGTTAATCTCGGCGCTAATGGGTTAAAAAAATATTATTACTCATTGGTAATTATAGTTCAAATATTCGATATGCACATTTCAATTTTTTATTTCTTTATTTCTTACCAACACATGAATCATCAGTTTCTCCACCTGCACACAGCTGATTATTATATATTGGTATACGACTATTAGAATATAGCTTCGAGCATTCTTTATTGGATATTACAGGCAAATCCACCTTAAGTTTTTTGTTTTTGTATATATCCCAACCAGTTTCTGTCACCCAATCGTCAGCTGCAACCTCCTCGTCAACTTTTGGTAAACATATCGGTTTTATATGCTCTAAAAATATTTAGTTATTAAGATAATAAGTTTACTTAAAAAAACAAAAAAAAAATATATAAAAATTTATCGCATAATGACGGTATTACATTTTGATTCGATAAAGAACAGCGACAAGCCGCATATACGTTTTTAGACCTCTTTAGGTCTCCTCAGTACGGTATAGCCACTACTCCGTATCGAAACAAAATCTTTTCCCGTCGTAGACCATAGTTATTAAAAATAACTATGTATAGACGTAACTATGCCATCTAAGAACAAAAAAAAAGCTGGCGAAATCGAATTTAAATCTCAACCTCCGCGCTTTCTAAAACTTGCAAAGCAAATAGCTTGATGAACAAATCGGCAAGGGAATCTAAGATTGCATTCCAAATGCCGTTCATTATGGTCAAAATTCGTAGTGAATTCAATTTCTGGTACTACAAATGAAGTAATGGCCAAAGAAGCTTGTAGAATGGAGAGATCCGATGATAAAAATAACCAAATTCCTCACTCCGATCTATCAGCTAAAATACCAAGGTTGTACTACATCGTATCCGAATAGTATCCAATTCGTTCTATACCAGACGCACGAACAGCTGCTAAGGAAGAAACCTCCTAGAATATGCTATGCCTGTGACACCGATATAAGTATAGGCCACATTGTTATAGACTGTCTATTATATCAAATGGAAAGACAAGCTACTGGACTACCAAGTGATAAAAAGTGCGCTTTAGACAGTGCGGATTGTGACAAAATCATTAGGTTTTCAAAGAAAACAAAATTGTATAATCAAATATAAGTAATACTTCAAGAAAAGTTCTAAATTGTAATCAACTTTCTAAAAACTTTATAATTTATATTTTATATTAATCATTATAATATATTATAGTAAAGATTGTTCTACCGCTAATAACCTTCTATGGTTGATGCAGGTTATTCCCAATAAAAAAAATACTAACAAATAAGATTACCTTTTTTTATCATTAATTACTATTTAACTGGGAATAAACCACAATTAAAGATAAAAAATACGTTTATTGACGTTTCAATTTCCACTTCGGAAATCGTTCTCAAAATACAAACAGTAAATTAAACAAATTTTGTTTTTTGTTACATAGTGAAAAATTCTTCTAATAATTTAATTTTATCTGACTCATTTATATTGACAATTCAGACATACATTATGCATTTTAAAGTAGACGACTTTAAAATGATATTGCCAATATTGTTGAGTTGCGCTCCTGGGACGACTTTACTTATAAGATAGTTCATTCGATTACATGAAATCAACTTTAACTTGAGAATATCCGTCAGAAAAAATCATAGCATATAATTCGTCTTTAAAAAGACAAACACATGACATGATGACAGTAAAATTCTCCTGTTAGTGATTCCATAGTAAATTATGAGGGAAAAACCAGGAAAAAAACCTCATAATACTATCCCGACATGGTAAGTATTTGTTCGTGCATTTAGTTTACCTTCAATAAACACCAAAATTCTGATTTTATATGTTTCGTTATTTAAAAAACATAAATGATGTATCCTCTATATGTTACTGACTTACTAATACTGGTATTTTCTTATTAATAACTTCCTCTTTCAATATTGGTAACCAGATCCTACTACATTCTGCCGAGGAATTTGCGACACAATTGGCCTCATTTAGCATAATTAAAGCCGCTTCTTTGATTTTTCTTTTTTTACCATCCGTCTCTTTTAGGACTACATTTGAATTATTCCATTGAACCCTATGTTCATTATCCCATGCGTGTTTACATATTTGAGATCTATCAAATTCTCTATTTTTAATATAAGACTGATGTTCACTTATTCTAACATTTAATGGCCTTGATGTTTCACCTAAATAAAACTGATCGCATTCACAAGGTATTTTATAAATGCAATTCTTTGTCCTTTCTTGTTCATTGTTAGGTTTGGTTTTGGACAAAATAGATCTCAACGTGTTTGTTGTTTTGAATGTTGTTGAAATGTTGAATTTATTGCCTATCCTTTTAAGTTTTTCTGATAATCGTTTTATGTACGGTATTGTTATTTTCCTCGTATTATTCCTTGTGTATGCTGTAGGATCTCGTTCTAAGTTGTTCTGTTCTATTCGATCGATTGTTGAAAATTCCTTATTTATAAACGATAAAGGATAATCATTTTTTAATAAAACAGATGTTAACAAATGTTTCTCCTCCAAGAACGAATTTTCGTTAGAACAAGTAATTTTGGCTCTATCGTATAAGGATTTAATTATTTCCTTTTTACATTAATATTGTGATTTGATTTGAAATTTAAATATCTATTGGTGTGTGTTAGTTTTCTATACACCTGAGTCTCATATCCAGTATCGTTCTTAGAGATTAAAACATCCAGAAAAGGTAGCGTGTTATTATATTCCTTTTCCATGGTAAATGTTATTGTCTTTACTTAATCGTTTATATAATTTAGGAATGTGTCCAACAACTCTGATCCATGAGGCCATATTGAGAATACAATATCATCTACATACCTCCACCATACTGTGGGATTTAAATTTTGTTTAGAAATGATATTTGTTTCAAAATCTTCCATAAATATATCGGCTAAGAATGTAGATAAACTAGAGCCCATTGCTAGACCAAAATTTTGTTTATATTTATATTTATTTTCATCTTTAATTGTGGCTTATTCCCAGTTAAATAGTAATTAATTTAAAATGCCACAAGAAAATGGCTTCAGATTTTTTTTATCATGTCTTCTATCTTTAGATGGAAAGGCGGTTAAGTTTCTAAAGCAACTACCTAATTGAATACCGTAGTTTTTTCGGTTTTCACCTAGTTCAAATTTTGCTGTACATTTTTCAATTGCAGCTTATTCGAATATTAGAATACGACAATATATACTAAAACTAAAATATAAAACTCGTCAACTCGTGCCACTTTTTCCAACAACTTTTTTTCTGGCTTTTCCGTTCTAGGTGATGTTGGTTTTTAGCAAGAATCTTTATAACGGATGTTTCCCGATTGCACTTTACATTAAGCTACGTGTGTAGTTATCGAAGGTACATGTCACGGTGCACTTGTTCGCTGTCCTTGTTGGGTTTTACCTATTTCGAGATAGTTACTTTCTTTTGGTATTAGTGAGCGTAGAGGTTTTGCCCCATACGGAGCTAGTATATATTTTACTCCGCAAACCACTATCACTCAACAGGTAGGAAAATTTTAAAGATAACGTATGAAACGGCAAAAATTGCATTAATGTGATACAAAAACATCGATTATATTATTATACTATTATAAAATACCAAAAATATGTATGTACATATAAAATAAATAAAACAGTAACGTTATTCTCATTGTGAGTTTAATTTTACACTTCTTTATAATTATTTTATTTGAAACCACAAACAATATTCAACCATACACTAGATGGAATACAGAAATAGAGGATTGGTCACTGTTTACACAATTTGTGGAGAGTCAATTGAATTATTTTTCAGATCCATCCCCGCTTGACAATATAAACGACGTAGTAAATAAATTTTCCTTATCACATATCATTGGAAAAAAGAAAATAGTCAGAAATCGTATTGGAGTACCATGGTGGAATAATCACTGTCAGGATGCTATAAAAAAGACTCGCAGAGCATTCAATAAATACAAAAAACGACAAACACAAGAAAATCTTCTAGAATTTAAGAAATTAAGGGCTATTAGTAGAAAAGTGGTAAAAGAAGCAAAAAAGGAATCATACAAAAACTTTTTATCAACAATAAACAGTTCTACCCCATCAGCAATAGTGTGGAAACAAATTAACAAAATTTCAGGACGCCACACAAACTCATCAATAAGATTTTTAGAATATAACAACAAAGTTCATACATCTAGATCTGGAATAGCCAATGTATTAGCTTCATCCTACGAGTCATATTTAAGTAACGATAACTTTTCTCCAGTTTTTAGAATTTAAAACCAAAGAAGAATTACAAGAATTTAATTATGATAAAAGCGATAACCTACCAATAAATGCACCAATACTAGAGAAAGAGTTAACTGAATCTATCAATTCTATTAAAAACTCTAGTCCTGGTCCAGATGATATTCCTATTATTTTCCTTAAAAATTTGCCTAAAAATGGATTTGCCTATTTAGTAAAGATATATAACAAAATATGGCTTCAGGAGTGTTTCCATATACTTGGAATAATGTTTATACAATACCTATCCTTAAACCTGGTAAACCACGTTCAGACCCAAACTCCTACCGTCCAGTATCATTAGGATGTGCAATGAGCAAAGTGCTCGAAAAATTAATAAATCAACGTCTTATTTGGATACTCGAGAAAAGATCTATTTTATCTAATAAACAAAGTGGATTTCGCAAAGATAGATCAACTTTAGACAACTTAGTTGACCTCGAGTCTGAAATACATGAAGCGCTAGCAAATAATCAAAGCTGTATAGCGGTATTTTTTGATATAACCAGAGCATTCGATACAGTTTGGCGCCATGGAATAATTAAAACTTTACAGAAATTTGATATACACGGAAACATGCTAAACTTCATCATTAACTTTTTAAAAGACCGAAGTTTCCAAGTAAAAGTAGATAATTTCATTTCTAAAACAAGAATACAGGAAAATGGAACCCCTCAAGGATCATCGATTAGTGTTACTCTTTTTCTTATTGCTATTAACAGTATTTTGGAAAACGATTCTCCACCAGTAAAGAGTAGGCTATACGCAGATGATCTAATAATTTATTGTAAAGGAAGAAACATAGAACTAATTAAACAAACCTTACAAGATACCATTTCTGTATTAGAAAAATGGTCAATGAAATCTGGAATGAAATTGTGTTCCAATAAAAGTAAATGTATCCATTTCACTAGAAAACGCAATGTTAGTAGTCCAGAACTTACAAACTTTAACACAAAAATAGAATATGTTGACTATCTCAAATTCCTTGGAATTAATTTTGATAAACATTTAAATTGTAAGCAACATATTTATTATCTTAAAACATCTTGTCAACAATATTTAAACATAATGAAAGTCCTATCTACTAAAAATTGGAGATGTGATCAAGATATCTTATTGACAGTATATAAAAGGCTTATTAGATCTAAAGTGGATTAGGGTTCAATAGTGTATGGGTCTACCAGTCAATCAGTTTTGAAGGAGTTGCAAACAATCCAAAATTCTGCAGTAAGAATAGCCTTAGGAGCTTTTTGTACCACACCTACAGATAGCTTACTATGTTTAGGAGAAATGCCTCTGGAATTAAGAAGACAATACCTTAACCTAGCATATGCTGCAAACGTTTCAGCAAATAGTGAAAATCCCGTCAGAAACAATGTCTTTGCTTCTCGTTTCCACACAACATATCTTAACAAAAAAAGATCTAAACCCCCTTTTTATGAAAGACTTAATAGATACATGACCATTAATAATACTGTCTTCCCTAAAATATACCAAACCACCCTTTCAACCACTCCTCCTTGGATGGTCAGAAAACCCTTCCTAGACATAAGTTTAACAAAGACTAGTAATCAACTTAATGCTTCCTCTATGGTTAAACAATTTTACAGTAAGATTGATGAGTACCAGAAATACCAACATATTTATACTGATGCTTCAAAATCAATAAAAGGAGTGGGATGTGCCTTCATACACAACGACTACACTGCTTCATACAAAATCTCAAATTTTAGCACATTATATACAAGAAAACTATTCGCAATCTACAAAACATTAGAATACGCACTGGACGCCAACTTAGACAGGTGCCTAATAATAACAGATTCCTTAAGTTCCATGAGTAGCTTAGGCACCATTTACCCAACTCATCCATTGTTGCGATTGATAAAGAACCATTTGAAAGAAGGAAAAGGGGAAGACCACCAAATTCCTGGAGAAGAGAAATTACAAAAACAATGCAATCTAGAGGCTTAGAAGAGGAGATTGGAGAGATAGGAAAAGATGGAGGCTGAAATGCGGGAAGCGGCAATCGCCGTAGGACCCCCGTTATATAATGATGATGATGAGATGTTGCCGCCAAATCTTCAGTTAACAACGAAGACTTGATAGAACCTACCTATAAGAAAGATTTTCATCACTGGATTAACTTGACATTGAAAGAACGGTGGCTTCAAGAATGGAATCAATCTCATCAAAAACTACGAGACATAAAAACAACTGTTACAAGATGGAAGAATATGTGCAGCAACAGGAAAGACCAAATTATAATAAACAGACTGAGATTAGGACATACACGCTTAACACATGAATACCATTTTACTGGAAGTGTTCATCCAATGTGCGGTAAGTGTTTCAACAGTTTAAGTGTCAAACATTATTTAATAGAATGCCCAGCATATAAAAATTAGAGGCAAAAGTGTAACATACCGACAACGATACGCGAGTGTCTACCAGAAGACTGTGTATATTCGTCTGTTTTAAGTTTTCTGAAGTCAATTGGAATATACAACCAAATTTAAACATCAGTGCGTATACAAATAAATGTGTAATGTTCTATTAACCAATGTACTTCAACTCAGATTTATGTATGCAAAACTCTTTGTATGTCTATGTCTATGTTTAATCTAGGTCTAAAAAAATGTAAAAAAATTGTAATACCAAGCGGCGCTAATAACCACTTAGGTTGATGCGCCTTAATTGTTAATAAAAAAAAACAAACAATATAAAAATATTTGATAATAAGTTTAACACTATGCAAAATAAAAATATGTATGCTTTATAGACTACAACAAGGCATTCGATAAAGTAAAACATGACCGACTTATAGAAGTACTCAAAAACAAGAATCTGGATGTGAGGGATGTAGGCCTAATATCAAATTTATACTACAGCCAACGATAAAATGTGAAAATTTGAAGAGAAGTGTCAGAAGAAGTGGAGATAAGGTCAATTGACCGCTTAAAATTTAGATACATATTTGCCTTTATATTGTTAGTTAACCATTCTTATTTACAAGGGGGACGTTTCAGTGAGATCTCGTAGGGTAAAAGTGGTAAATTTTTTTCATCTTTGTTGAGGTCCTATAATTGACATTCTCAGAAAAATTCAGCTCGTATGATTTTTAGAGCTCAAATCTCTGACTACCTGAGTAAAACGCCAGTTATCACTCCAAATTAGTGGCAAAGTTACCGACGGTCTAAACTGACTGACTCCAATGCGTATGGTTAGACTTTGCTTAAACCGAAATTATTAGGCATCGCAATGCAACATGAATAAATTGTAATATAAAAAAATATGTCATTGACGAAATAGAAAAAACAAGCAAAATAACGGTATAACGTTAACCACCTTATAATTATTATTGTTAACTAAATCCAATAAAGTTAAGATGGGCTCAAGTACAAGGTGAATTAGCCAGGCAAAATACAACATTTAATTTGAAGGATGTCTAACAACTTTTATTAAATTCTATAAAAAAACATAACGATGATAACTGGACCAATGCCGCAAACACATAAATAAAAGAGAAATAAAAATTGTCGGTCGTCGAGAAGCAAAAAAGAACTTTGACAGTCTATAACCATTCTAATTGAGCCGGACAACGAATCTGACACAAATTAAGAAAGAGCTATAGAAATCCAATATTTATAAGTAAATCAGCAAGTTCTTAACTTCTGCATATTCCATCCATTGTCGGATGTATGCCTCCCTTAGATGTGTCCATTTATTTCTGATAGTTATTTTTTGCTTTAATTTGTGACCAGCTATTCACTTGATGTAATTAGTCTATCTGGTTTTAAGACTAACTCTACTTTTCTTTTATTCCCTCTATGTTTCGCTCAGTTCCATTTTAACATAGCAATTTTTTTGATAGACGACATTCTAGTAAATAACAGATCTCGAAACAGTTTTACATCTGTCAAGATTAATCCTGAAGCAGACTTCGATACGAGCAAAGAGCTTGATACGAGGATGAAAATCCAAACCACGTTAAATGAGTAAGCGACTGCAATTAGGAACAAATCGAACAAAGAACAAACGACCAAATATATTACAGAAATAATGCAAAATGTAAAGGATAAACACTTTATCCCAGACAAATATTAAACCATAAATATATTAATAAGAATGAAAACCAGAGAAGCGAAAAAAAGAAAGCAAGGAAAAGATGCAAGAAAATTAATACTCTGCAGTCAAAGTACGATAGTCACAATGTATATAGAAAAGTTTAAGAACTCACAGCGAGACTAAGAGGAAGGCAGAAAGAAAATGTAACTGATCATGACGGAAACATTATCTTGGACAAAAAGAGTAAAATAAGAACGTGGAAAGAATAGCTAAAAAACTATTTGAAGACAAAAGAGAAACTTTGAGAAACCTTTGAGCTAGAAAAAGAGGTAAATAATGGAACAAAAATATTGCAGCAGGAATTTTATTTCACAACAACACAGTTAAAGGATAGCAAAACGGCAGGACCTGATAATATATAATCAGAACTACTCAAACTAATGGACAACGAATCAACAGCAATAATCTAAAAGATATCCAATAACGTATACAACTCTGAAGATATATCAACATAGTGGTTGAAGTCTGAGTTTACTGCACATCCGAAAAAACCAGGAGCCAAAAAATGCAAAGATCACCGTACTATAAGCCTCATGAGTCATTTCCTAAAACTTTTCCTAAAGATAATTTATAAGAGAGCTGCCGGTTGCAAACAGACAGACTTTTAACTTAAACCAATACAAACTTACCGTTAAATTCTACATCTTGAGCTAATTTTACTATACCAATATTGTTTTGAGGCATTGGTCCTTCACTTTTAAGTTCTGTATGGATAAACAGTCTTTCAACAGGTATATCTATATGTTCGTCTTTGCATTGTTTGTGAGGTCTACAGTTATGTTGTCCAAGATTAACCATCACTCTTAAAAAAATACTTTTAATTAGATTGTGTAGTATTATAATATAGCTTTTCTTTGTATAGTATAATCCAAATGTAAGTAAGTAATACAATATTTCATAAATTAAGTTTTGTTTTGGAAAAAAATGCAACATTGATTATTATTCTAATACAGGTGGTCGTTAACAAATTATGAAGCAAACATCTCGAAAATATATACGTTAGTAGTTACTCTATGTTACTAAAATGGTAGAATAGTTGAATTTTTATAGATTCCCTCTTATGTGGGTATTTCCTAGAATAAAGATGCGGTCATAAAATAAACACGTAGGTAAGTATCTAGTGAGAACTATATTCCAGCAAAAAAATAATAAAATGAGCCACATGCGTGATATCGTAAGTTAACGTAAAATTTAGCTGTTCTTATGAGTTTTACCAAGAAGCATGTCAGTGGAAGAAAAGTATCGAAAACTTTATTTTTTATTTAGCTTATGGCATATTAAGAATACATAATTAAAAGTAATAATGTTATACAAAAAACGTACAATGAAGTACAAACGAACATTTAATATATCAATATAATCTATTTTGGTTTCATTTGGGAATTTTAGCTTCTTATTTTTTCTTGCTGTTCTGTTAATATACACATTGAACGAAATAAATTCGGAACATAGGAAACATCATGTATTTCGGCTCATTTCTGCTGTAGGAGGTTGGCCAACAAAAGGTTGTCAAATAATTATATTATAAAAACCCAATACTTCTGCGGGCTGCTGGATTCTCAACTCATAAAAATTGAAAGCTACAGATAAATCTACGATTTTATTATGCTGTCAAACCACTTATAGTCCAGGAAATGAAGCATTTCACCTCGTAATTTTTTTTTCCTGCGTGGATTAAATTGAAATTTTAACAGAAGGTAGGTAATAGCCTAAGGATCAAAATCTATATCGAACCAAAGTGCGCTAAAGCCTTCGGGTGGTTGCCACCCCATCCCGGGGGTGAAATTTTTTTTTACGTTTTAACTACAGGTTTCGAATAAAAAAGTAATTATAAACAAAAAATTTTCTATACATTTTTTTTTTTGTAAAACTGATATTTTTCAAGTTACTCGCGATTGAAAGTAACAACTTTTAGACGAAAAAATCGACGTTTTTAATCGATTTTTCGCGAATAACTCGAAAATGGTGCATTTATCAAAAAATTGTAGAGAACAAATTTGTAGCTTTTAAAAAGACAAATACAATTCATTTTTTAAAATGTTTTTGCAATATAATAGGAACCGAAATACGGCCTATCAGTGTTCAACGGTTTTCTTCAAATGCCAAATTTGAAAGATTCAAAGTCAAATTTCGGGAAAATGATGCATTTTTGGAAGAAAACTTACCTTTGTACATGTATTGTTAATACGTCCAAGAAGTTTGACCCATTTAAAATGCTTAGTTTTAGAAAAAGTACAGCTTAAAGCGAGAAACGATTTACAATTTCATATTTTTTACCCTTCTTTTTTTAAATATCCCTGAAAATACTGAATATATGAAAGAAATATAAATGTAGTTAATTGTAGCTTTTTTAATGATTAAAATTTTCCTTTATTTAGATTTGTTGTACAATGAATATTTGGCGAGATATAGCCGTTTAAAGCATCGATTTACGATCAAGCACCATCTTTTTCGAGCCCTTTAAACTCACCCCATTTAAAAACCAAGGGTTCCAAAGAGATTTAATTTACAGATCCTTGTAGCTCTTAACAACCTCTACAAAATCGTTTTTGAGGAAACACTCTATCGTTAAAAATGGAGGAAATATGTTAAAAAACCAATTAATTTTTTTTTTCAGAAAATTCCATTAGTATAGTACAGTACATTTTGGAGCATAATAATCTACAAAACCGGTATATTAGGTAGTAGGTCGTTATACATTCGAAATTTTAAGCGATCTTGTTTGAAATCCCATACAACAGAATAAAACATTTGCTCGTATGTTTATGGCTTGGCAATGAAAATATCAGAGCAACAGACTGGGGATGGTATTCCAAAGATGGTTTGTTATTACCCGTACGCATGAACAAACAACCTGTACATGATGAAATTTGAAAATTATTTTTTGCCCATGCAAAAAAGGATGAGGCGTTTCATGTGGGTGCAGAAAAGTTGGTTTATACTGTAACTTTACTTGTTCTGGGTGCTCATGTGAAGAGTGCAATAATAGTCCACCAATAATTGAAGAAGATGAGGATGATATAGATCACGATAAAGATATAATTGATGACGAATAAAATTAATATTATAATTGTTTTACCTATAAATGTAAATATTTTCAACTATTTATGTAAATGTATAAGAATATATGGTGCCTTTTTATGTTGATAAATTTTTTTATATTTAATTCTACTTTTTTCAATTCATATCTATTAAATTAGTTTATAACTGCAATGTTGTAAAGGGTGATTTTCAAAAGTTGAAAAGTTGCAAAATTTTGGCAAAAAAATTGTTTTTACCTATAGCACTCATAACAATTGATATTTAAGGGTTGAAAATGTATGAAATTGTATTTTAAAGTATAAAAAAATCACTATTTAACTAATCTAAACCAAGTTTCACTCATCTTAAGATTTGTAATGTTATTTTACATGTTTTGAAAATTGGGGTAGTTTTCACCCCTAAGAACAATCAGGGTTCATCGGCATGACATAAACCAAGCAGAGGGTGAGTTAAGCTTAATTCCAATTTTTTATGCAAATCGTTCCCAGGCGAAATCATTTTCTTCGCATTACTAATTTTTTTACATTATTCTCTAACAAGGGTCGCTTTTTAAGGGTTGAAATATGATGGAACTTTATTCAAAAGCACGAAACTATCATTATTTAATTAATTTAAACCAAATTTTACCCATATTCAGGTTTAATATGTTATTTTATAATTTTTGACAATTAGGGCTAGTTTTCACCCATAAGAACAATCAGGGTTCGTCTACATGACATAAACTATAAAGCAGCGGGTGAATTGAGCTTAAATCCAAATTTTTATCCAAATCGATCCAAGGCGAAATCATTTTTTTAGAATTAGTAATTTTTTTAGATTAATCTCTAACAAGGGTTGCTTTTTAAGGGTTGAAATATTATGGAACTCTATTTAAAAGTATAAAATAATCATTATTTACCTAATTTAAACCAAATCTTACCCATATTCAGGTTTAATATGTTATTTTATAATTTTTGACAATTAGGGATAGTTTTCACTCCTAAAACCATTCAGCGCACTTCGGTTCGATATAGATTTTGATCCTTGGGCTCTCACCTACCTTTTGTTAAAATTTCAACTCAATTCATGCAGGACGAAAAAATTGCGAGGTTTTAACTTTTTTCGAGCTTCATTTCCTGAACTATTAAAAACTTCCTTAGACAAGCAACATTGTTACACAAACAACATTGTTGCGAGACAGATAGTTGAACGATATTTTATACAATGTCTATACCCAGGTATGGATTTATTTTTGTCCAAGTTTTATATTGGTCCACTATTTCAAATGCAGTTCAAACAGACATATTATATTAAATTGTATGTTCCGTTTTAAATTCGTTCTGTATTACCCTTCTTTTTTTACTTATTTTATTTGAATTTCTTTTTGCTTTTGTTTAATTTCTGGTAACATTTTCTCGTCTTTATTGGCTTACTTAGATCTTGTAGTTCTTGAAATTTTATTTATAGTTTCTCTTTTCTTTCTGCGGTGGATTTTATTTTCTTCCTCTTATTTATATTCCTCCTTTGCTTGTCGGGTTTTATACCCCAGTTGCGTCATTAAAAATGCTCTATTTTTTCTCTCTATTATGATATTCGTTCTTGTTGTTCTTTGTTTACCTTTCATACCTAGTAATTCTTCAACTGCTTCTTTTAGGTTTTCATATTTTGGTCTGTTTTTTAGTTTGATATTTATATTTGGTTATATTCTTTATTTTTATTTGTACTTTTAAGTCCTTTTACATTTTATCATTTGCCTATTTTCTTTTCTAAACGGTTAAAATTCTGTCCCTTACCCTACTTTCAATCCAGTAGAGTTCAGAATCATTTGCTCCTCTTCTTGTGAGAACGTTTATTATATTGGATTGATGTCTTGAGTCTGCAATGTAATAATTTATCATATTTACTGTAAGACCGACAATCAGTCTGGTGATTGCCAGGTGCCTTTTTGTACCTGCATATAACATCGTTTCCAAAAAAAAACTTTTATGAAAAATAAGTCACTTTTGAAATCAAAGCATTAAAAATATATAAAATTCGGTATTTCTCAAGCACCAATTTTTTTTATTTTGTTGGGCTCTGTTATAATTTCTGTTCCACACCATGCAAGTTAAACATTTACTTTGTATTCCAGTGTTTCATTGGACGGAATTTTTAATTTTTTATTGACGCTTATAAAATGAAAATATTTGTTTCGTTGTATAGTTGCGACAATATTTATCTCGTGTATCTCTATTTTACTGTATTTCGCCTATTATGCTACATTTCGACATTTATGTCAGTCACTTTGTATTCCAGTTTTTTCTTTAAAGGAATTTTGTGTTTTTTATTGACGCTTATAAAATGAAAATATTTGTTTTGCTGTATAGTTGCAACAATCTGCTGATTCAGCTGTTGATTCATCTCGTGTATCTCTATTTTGCTGTGTAAATACATTTCGAGAGTTATGTCAGGACATTGATTAATTTTGTTATTAAATATACTTCGCAGTTATTTGACACAAATTTTTGTCATACATAAACGTTGAATCTCGATAATTGCGTTTCGTTGTTTTAGTAATGTTTTTGTCTGTTTCATCGATTACGAGAAAGCATTCGATAATGTAAAACACGAATTGATGATAAAATACCTACAATAGTTGGGATTGGATGACAAGGATATAAGAATTATCGCCAATTTGTATTGGAACCAGACAGCAACAGTACGTCTTCAAAATTTCAACAAAACAGAAGATTTCTTCATTAAAAAAGGAGTAAGGCAAGGTTGTATACTATCTCCAA